ATTTATCACTTAAAAAAATAAACCCATGAATGTAAAAATGTTCATTTGAGGCTCTAAAAATAAATCTGCATATGGTTTTGCTCATTCATCCAGATGTTGATATAGCCCGGAAAATATTTTCTTTAAAAATGAGCACAACTGCATTTTGGCACATGTGATAGAGTGAATGACAGTCCCCAAAGATGTCCATATACTCTAATCCCTGGAAACTGTGAATATGTTACCTTATAGAGCAAAAAAACTTGGCAGGCATGATTAAATTAAGGATACTGAGCTGGTAGGATTCTCCTGGCTCATCTACACAGTGCCGGTGTAACCACCGGGATCTTTATAAGTGGCAGAGAGGAGAATAAGATGCCTGGGTGGAGGGCACCTGCCGCTGCTGACTTTGAATTTGCATGGAGAGAGTCATAGGCCAAGAGAAACTGAGGAAGCTTCCAGAAGCTGGAAAAGGCGAGGAAAAACATTCTCCCCAATAGCCGCCAGAAAGAACATGACCCTGAGAAAACCTTAATTTTAGTCCAGTGAAACTGATTTCAGACTTCTGACCTCCAGAACTGTAAGACAGTAAATCTGTCTTAAGCCACTAAGTTTCTGGTGCATTGTTACAGCAGCACAGGACACGAATACGGGGTGGTACCATACAGAATTCATAACTCTATCAGACATTTTAGAGTCTTTTCTACTAATGTTAGGAAATACAAAAGAATTTGTAGCTTGTCACTACAAATGTTATTCTTTGCATACCAAAACTAAACCACTGGAAACAACATCTGGAAAGAACAACTAGGCAATTTATGAATAATATTTCTATACCCCATTCATTGTTAAGCCTAATTATAAACTTGCTTTTACCCCAATCTTCACCCTGACCAGTTGTTAGCATTTGGAGGTGAACGATCATGAATTTGCAATATTAGTTTCATTGGTGAGTCTTGGAGGGACAGAAATTCAACTAAGAATTTATGTATGGCCGCTTGTTCTCAAGCTGCTAGTTATATGTTAACAAATGGAACCTTAGTTCATGTCTGCTTCTCTTGGTCTGCAACTTGCCTCCCCTTTGTCCAACTTTCTGACAGATGTTCATCCAGGCCTGTTTCTGTTCCCAAACAGAAACAAGGCAGTGATGCTTCTGAAGCAAACGGATGTGCCCCTAAACGCTGTGAACCAGCTAAAACAAAGAAAAGAGGGTCCACACAAAGGCACAGAGCTTCCTGCCACAGTGACAAGGCCTGGGGAGTGTGGGCTTTCAAAGAGGGAGGAGAAGAAAAGGATGATAAAAAATAGAATGGGAAGTGCAGTAAGATGCACAGCAAATCCCAGTGCTTCCAGAATAATTGAAAGCAGGGAGATTAGCATAACAGTGTGACAGAATACATGACTCGGTGCTTTGCGAAGTAGCCAAATACAATAGCCTTACCCTCAATATGAAAACTGGTCTAAATTTAATTTAATCTCTTTGATGATTTTGAAGTTGCCTCAGGGTGCTGCAATATTTCCTTTCTGCAATCATGAATATTAATCACCAAGGCTTAATGCTCTAGAAAACAATTTAGGGAATCTGAGTCTCCCATTGGCAGGTTTCTTTAGAGCCACTGGTGTATAAGCATTTCTTTTTGTTGTTGTTGTTGCAGTTTGGCTGGGGCTAGGTTTGAACCCGTCCCCCTCAGTATATGGGGCCAGCGCCCTACTCACTGAGCCACAGTATAAGCATTTCTTAAGGGATGAATGTCCTTATGGTTGTGGCCTGGAAATTGACCACAGACCTGTGAATGGACTGAGGAAAGAAAATGCCTTTGTCAGACGGAATCATCACCCTTTTTATGATCACTTTTTACATCCCATAAGGAACATGGTGGAATAACCAAGGCCCAGCTGAGCAAGTGGCTTCTGTACATTCTCTGCAATCTTTCCGCTCCTGCAGACTGGATTCCATTATACAGAGACAGTTCCATTTTCTTCCCTTTACTGTCTATTCCCAGGGCCAAGTTTCTAGGAGGGAATCAATGAATGTGTGCATGATTCTTTAATGTTTTTTTCTTTATTAATTTTTTGTGGCAATGGGGGGTCTTGCCGTGTTGCCCAGGCTGGTCTCGAACTCCTGGCCTCAAGCAATCGTCCGACCTCAGGCTTCCTAAGTGCTAGGATTATAGGCTTGAGCCACTGCACTCAGCTGTGAGTAAGACTCACATGAGCCCACAAGATCTGAAGGTCCCTCCCTACATCAATTCTGGCCACAAAGCCATTGGCTGGTGACAGCCAGAACAACTGAGCAAAAGTGTCTGACAGGATATATCACAGTGGCTAATCAGATTCCAGTCAGGAAGAAATTCTCTCCAGAAGGAGAATATCCCCATCCCTCTACTACAGAGGGGGGGAGCACAGTACTCCCAGATTAACAAACAACAACAACAACAACATAAAGCTAATGAAAATGAATCACCTTCTAAATTTTAATATCACTTTAATTTTTAGTTAGCAAAGGTTAAGAAAAATCAGAAAAGTACAATGACACAGAAGCAGCCTTCACACACTGTGAGCACATTTGGAAAAACCATTTGGCAGAGATATCCAAAGCCTTAGAAATGCTCGCACCCTCTGGCCCAGGAACTGCACTTCTGGGACTATATTCTAAAGGAATAATCCTAAATATAGAAAAACTTTATGTACAAGGATTGCCAATCAATTTTATTTTTAAAGTTATAGCATGGTGTATAATAATAAAAACAGGAAACAACCTAAATATGAAAGAGGAGGGGGGAATTGAGAAAATTAAAAATATATTGTCGGGCTATTATGCAGCCATTAAAATAGCTTCTTAAAAGTTTGTAGACTATGAAATACGTGTGTTATTATGTTAGGTGAAAATGGCCAGATAGAAAACTTCATCTACATTATGAATTTCATATGCATTATGCAATCCCAGTTTAGATGCATAGAAATAGGACCAGGAGAGGCACATTAAAAATTACTAGCAGTGATTCTCTTTGTAGCTATGGTGGAATTATGACTGATACTTCTCTTTATCCTTTATGTTTTCCTACACTGTCCATATTTTTACGTGTTGCATATGTCTGTCTTCAGGGGAAGAGGGATCCTTTATTTTTATTTTAACAGCCACTTCTTCAAGGAAGTCTCTGAAGGATGCTCTGGGTAAAGGAAAAGCCACTAGCCAGAAAGAAGACAGGCAGACCCTGGAGAATTCCCGGTGATAAGGAGAAGTCACTTTGGGTCCCTGCTTCTGCCTCTCCCCAGCGTTTGCAGCTGTCACTTTAAGGGCCCCTGTGGCTCCAGTCCCTATGGCCTGGGAGCACTGGCTGAAGGTGACCTGCGAAGGCCCACTAACAGGTCATCTTGCAAGTCTCTTTTGAGCTCTGTCCCTATTTCCAAACCAGGTTCCCTGAAATTTTTATAGGCAAATACCACTGCAGCCCACCTTTCTCCTCACCAGTAGCTGAATTCTTTCTATCTCCCTGTTTTATGCCACCCACCCATCCAACATCCCAACAGTCCTCTCAACAGGGAATGCACCTCTCTCCCTCTGCAGGTATTTACCTGGATGTCCTGGGATGAGTGCTGGCCTCTAAGACAAGCCCTCTAGGAAGCCACAGGTCAACTCTCTTGGACCTGTCTGCTGTCAGATGCTGCCCCATTGTGTCCCACTTGCCTGCCAGCCTCCCCTGGGCAGCCCACCACCCCCTCCTTGTTGCCTGCTGCTAAGCCCTCTGGGTCTTCTCCTGAGCTTGTCTCTGTCTCCTTATGATTATCTCTGGGTCCCACCCACTGCTGAGCTGCTGTCATTGCCATGGCCTGAGCTCCTTACCCTGTCTATCCCTCTCCCCACATGTACTGGGGACCTGCAAGGAAAATGTCACCAGCACTAGGGCCCATTTTCCTGTTCTGTTCAGGAAACGTGGTCTGGGAGAGTGATTTGGGGGAATGAAATGGAGTGTCTCTTACTAAAATGACAGGGGCCTCAATTCTATAGTGCTTGTATCTCTGAGGGGGTGGAGCCTGAAGTCCAGGTTTTTGCTGTTACTCGAAAGTCTGATAATGTAAATAATTGATGGTGATGATGATGATGAGCTTTCAGTATGGCTGGCGCTGAGCTAAACATTTAACGTGGAGAGTTGCACCTCCTGTTAGAATAGCTCCACAACAAGGATGGGTGCACTGCTGGCAGCTCCAGTCTATAGATGAGGACACTGGGGTTCACATAGGTGAACTAACTGGGTCAAAGTCATAGAGGTAGTGACTAAATGATGAGGGACTTGAATCCAGGCCAGAGCTTGATTATTGAACACCACTCCAGAGAATATAACCCCAAAGGCTCAGGTCCACTAGCTCGTTGCAATGAACTGAAGGAGTGGCCATAATGAGTAGGGCCAGCTGTAGGGCACATGATCATCAGTAGTGAAGGGTTCACCATACAGCCCCAGGGGACTAACAACAGGCAGGAGTGTGGGCCCAGAGTGGTCAGACTGCTGGGATCTCAAGAGATGCCACCCAGGCCAGGCACAGCGGCTTATGCCTGTTATGCTAGCACTCTAGAGGGCTGAAGTGGGAGGATCCCTTGAGGTTAGGAGTTTGAAATTAGCTTGAGCAAGAGCAAGACCCTGTCTCTACTAAAAATAGAAAAACTAGCCAGGCGGTAGTCCCTGACATTCTGGATACTGAGACAGGAAGATTGCTTGAACCCACCCAGAAATTTGAGGTTGCTGTGAGGGAGGCTGATGCCACAGCACTCTATCCTGGGGCAACAGAGTGAGACTCTGTCTAAAAAAAAAAAAAAGAGAGAGAGATCTCAACCAATATGGATTTTTGTGCACCACCTCCCTGTCTTGTAATGTGGGTTCAAACTGTTCAAAAACATTGGGTAGGTCACATATAGTGCCCTGGTGATCCATCAGTTTGCCACCTCGGCACTGTGCTGCCCTGTGGGCCTGCCCTGCCTTCCTGGTGACACACACTCTCGTCTTTCAGAGGCTCAGCCTCCTTACCTGCACGATCTCCAGCATCTCGGCCTTGCTGATGTAGCCATTTCCATCCAGGTCGTACATGCTGAAGGCCCATTTCAGCTTCTGCTCCAGCTTCCCCCTCGAGGTCACACTCAGGGCGATGATAAATTCTCTGAAGTCTATTGTCCCATCTCCATTGGCATCGAAGGTGCGGAAGACATGCTCTGCAAATTTGGAAGCATCCCCATAAGGGAAAAAGTTCCCGTATATTTTCTTAAACTCCTCCATTGACAAATGTCCGCTGGGGCAGTCTCTCAAGAAGCCTTTATACCACTCCTGGATTTCATGCTCTGTGAAGTCCGTGCTCTCCAGCAAGTCCTGCATGACCTCCGGGCGCAGCTTGCTGTTCTGTTTGCCCATCCTGGCAGCGAGAGTTCAGCTGCAGACAAAAAAAGAAAGCATATATGCTTTTTAGAGCCGTTCTTTAGAAGCATGTTTTATAATTTGTGATTGTTCCTTTGGGGAAAAGAAAAAACAAACAAACTTTATAGTAGTTCAGTAACATTGTCTAGGTTTTCAATACAGCAACCAGCCAAACAAAATAATAGAAACAGAGGCCAGTGGAAGATATGGGACAGAAATATCACCAACCAGAAAATTGATATTTCTTTCATACAGAGCTGGTCTGAAAGCAAAGATACAGAGGGAGTAGGAAGGGGAGGGGCAGGCAAGGAGGTGGGAGGGAGGGAGGGAGAATTAATTGTTTACTTAGTTTTGATTTATCAGTTTGCAAGAGGTTGAGCCTGGATTTAAGAAGGCTAGGGTTCTAATACTAACTGCAGAATTAGCAGAGAAAATTTTTTAAAAAGAAAAAGAAAGAGAGAGAGACCAAAAGAGAGACTTCAGCATGTCTTCTTGTTTTTATTTTTTGAGACAGAGTGTCTCTCTGTCTCTCTGTCGCCCAGGCTAGAGTGCTGAGGTATCAGCCTAGCTCACAGCAACCTCAAACTCCTGGATTCAAGTGATCCTCCTGCCTCAGCCTCTCAAGTAGCTGGGACTACAGGCACCTGCCACAGTGCCCAGCTAATCTTTCTATTTTTAATAGAGATATGGTCTTGCTCTTGCTCAGGCTAGTCTTGAACTCCTAAGCTCAAGCAATCCTCCCACCGCAGCCTCCCAAAGTACTAGGATTACTAGGCCCCAGCTTCTTCAGCTTTTTTTTTTTGAGACAGAGTCTCATTTTGTCGCTCTCGGTAGAGTGTTGTGGCATCACAGCTCAAAGCAACCTCAGACTCTTGGCTCAAGCAATTCTCTTGCCTCAGTCTCCTAAGTAGCTGGGACTACAGGCACCAGCACAATGCTCAGTTATTTTTAGAGATGAGGTCTCACTCTGGCTGAGGCTGGTCTCGAACTCATGAGTTCAGGCGATCCAACCAACTCAGCCCCTCAGAGTGCTAGGATTACAGGCATGAGCCACCATGCCCGGCCTCTTCAGCATGTTTTAATGCTAGAATATTTCTAAGTAAGGTGCTGCATGGATGCCTTCTAAGTATCATAAACATGGATACATACAGGGAAGGAAAATGGAAATAAACTTGTCTAATACCACTAAACACAACCAAGCTGGTTCAGTAGTTAAAATTCAGAGTAAATCACTGACAACCTTGGGTTTAGATTGTAAAGACGATGCTTTGTAAAACTATTTATGCCTTATGCATTTGGCTTATGAAATAATTTTGTGTATTCTTATTATAACAGTAGTGCACATCCATAGAAAAATAGGAAGACAACACCGGGGTTAAAGAAGAAAGTCAATATCATTTCAAATCCTAACTCTTAGAGATAACCACTGCTAACATTTTGGTGTGCATTCTTCCAGAGTTTTTGTATGCATACTTCTTCCAATATGCTATTAATATATCATTTAATACCCTTACATTTAAAAAATGCATGAATCCATATTCTTTGTTATATATTTTTTTACTTTATATAGGTGTGGAGGGATCAAGAGAGCTTTCACTAGGTGGGAAAACACCTGCAATCGCCACCTTTCCAGTCACATAGCCATTCACAGTCATTTGCTAAGCACCGTTACCCAACATGTCTGGTGCTCTGAATTGCAAGAGTAAGACGTGGCCCCTCCTTCCTAAGGGCACCCAGCTGTGTATGTCAGGGTGGTGGTGACAGGGAGGAGACAATATGATAGATACGCCATTCACATATCCAGAGTTGACAGCAGATGCAGTGAGAGTAACTGGGAGGGATAGTCAAGCCCCAGGGGCCATGGGGCGATCAGGGAAGCTTTCCCGGAGGACGTGGAATCTGTGCTTAGTTCCTGTTTTGCAGCCATAGGATTTAAGTGTGGTCTTATAAAGGGGCTCTTCACTTATGTTTTGCATTTTGATTCTACTGGAAAAAATCCTGAAAGACTTGGAAAATTATAGAATATCTGAAAGACAACCTATCCCCATTTTAATCATGACTGCTGATTTTCTTTTTTTTCCCCCCCTTTTCTTGTTCAGGATTCATTGAAGGTATAAAGAATTAGGTTACACTGATTGCATTTGTTAGATAAAGTCCCTCTTATAGTTGTGTCCCAACCTAAGAGGTGTGCCATACACCATGACCCCATCCCCCTCTCCCCACTTGCTCATTCCCCTACCCGCTCCCCCTTGTATTAGCTCATCTGCTGCCTTCATATTAGAGTACAGTACATTGGAGTCTTGGTTCTCCATTCTTGTGATTCTTTACTGAGAAGTATTCTACTTCCATCCAGGTTACTACAAAAGATGTAAAGTCTCCAACTGTTTTAGTGATGACTGCTGATTTTCTTTGTGATTTTACGCATCATGGTGTTAGTTTGTTTCCCTCCTGCTACGTGGTCAGCACCTTGAGGAAAGCAGGGTCACCATGGGGTTGTGTTGTCTTGGCAATGCCCATGACAAATGGCACATGGTGAACTAAGAAACGAAGGAATGAGTAATAGACAGGGAATCGCAACACAGAAATATGGAATAGTCTTGGCAAAGGAGGCTTTTTGCTAAAAGCATGAGGCCCAGTTTTTGGAACCCCACGTGATACACTAGAAGCTATCTGGTTATTAAGACCTGGTCTTAGGATAGCTTAATTTGAATTGCCTGTGTAGTGGCCTCACTAGAAATAAATTCCTACAGGACAGAGCTCGTATCTCATGCTGCTCAAGCTGCTTTTGTAATACCCACCATAGTTCAGGTAATAATGAGAAATCCTTATTAATTGCCAAGTTGATCAGCTTTGTTTCCTGAGTTCTGTACTGGAGGCAGACCTGGCTCTGCCCTGCTTGTTGCAAGCATCCCAAAGGGCAGGGAGGATGGAGCATCTGTCCTGTTAGCAGGGCCAACAGCTGCAGGAAGGAACTTACTTTCAGAGTTCCCTCTTTATGCACAAGCAAATACCATTCTTTGCAAAAGCAAAATTAAACTAGGACTCTAAATGGAGCCGAAACAGAACTTACAAACTGAACATTCCAGTATCTTTCACTTTCCTCTGTGTCCTTCTCCTCCACTTCCCCACCCCCAGATTAAAAAAAAAAGTTAGGCTGGTTTCTATTAGAATTTTAAAATTGTCATTTAGTTGCTAAATTGGCAATTTGCCTGAAGCCAGAATTTAGAAACATGAGGTAATACATAATACATGGGTTTATAGAGCTCTGAACCATTTTATGGAATTTACAAGTAGTTTCAAATCTTCCTTTTGGGGAGTTCTTTAGAATATATAGCTCTTTGGTGTGGTTTTCAATCAAATCGTCATTATTATAGTTTGGTTATGTACAAATCGCTGTGTGTACAGCCTTGGGGGGAAAAACATCATTTGAATATTTAAATCTACACCCTTAAAGAATGATTTATTTCCCTAGACACAGAAAACACTCTTTCTTCAAAACTCAAGTTCCTTTCCCAGCATTTAAAAAGTGCTCCTCATTTATTAGCTGCTTTTGCACTAGAGACAAATTGCCTCCACATTTTGGCTAAGTCTCCCACTGAGCCTGATGCGTGCGCAGCTATTTTTCCGTAAACAGTAATTAAACCACATTTACAAATTCATTAGCACAGAAAGGCCATAACACAAACAAGGCAGAAGAGCATGAAATAAGTTATTTGGGAAGCGGGTATTTGTAATTAAGTTCAGAATTTGGTTCAGCAGATAATGACAAATACCATTAAGTATGAGGACTGAACTTGAGAAAACAAACCATCTGGACTTGGTTAGACCATACAACAAAGATCTCAGGGGACATGTGATAGAGTTTCTTTCCTTGGGTGGGGAGGGGGAAGAGAGAGGAGTGTCTGCCAATACCCTTCTACTTTGGGAAGACAGGAATTTCTGCCTGTTTCTGCTGAAGGGGAGGGGGGCAGGATAACTTGGGAGAAATGCTACAGTTAATTAGCAGTCAAGACAAAAATAGTCTGGAGACAGAAGGTGCACCTCAGGTCAAAATCCTTCCCATTGCTCCAATCAGTCATTAAAACATTTCTTTTGCACCAGTAGAATATAGTGGGGAAAATGCTTGTGTTCACAGCCTGGCTCTATCGTTACTAGCTAGTGGGTAATTAGCTTAACTTTCTGGCACACCTCAGTTTTCTCACTTGTAAAATGAGTTCCATAATATGAGTTCATGTCTTACTGAATTGATGTGAGAATTAAATGAGATGGTCCCATATGCAAAGCTCTGGCAGTCAGTCAGGGCCAGATGCTGCGGTCAATGACAAGACCTTATCCTCACTGGTCCTTCAGACGTCCTTCAATCCAACCCACACAACAACCTTGTGTGGTGGGCGGGGAGGCTTTCTCTATTTTATTAGCAGAGAAATGAAAACTGAGAGAGGCTTCCAGTCCTGTGGCAGGAGACATATGATATAATAAGGGAAATGCCAGCAGGAGATGTGTCATGGAGAAGAGCAGAGGAGGGCAGGGGGTTGAGGAATGCTGGGGTCGGAGGTTGGGTGATGAGACTTTAAAGGAGCAGCCAGGGAAGGCTCCATTGAGAAAGTGATGGTTGAAAATGACAGGCAGTGAGGCAGGTAGCCCAGGAGAGAGGTAGGAGAAGTCTCTTCCAGGAGAGAGAAGGGTGAATGAAAAGGGTCTAAACTGGGGCGCACCCACCATGAGCCAGGACGTAGCCAGAGTGGAGGGCAAGAGGGATTAAAGGAGATGGATGATTTGGGACCTAGCAGTGACCATAGGGACTTTGGCTCTTACTCTGTGAGACAGAGCCATTGCAGGGTTTTTAGCAGAGAAGTGATAGGAGTGATTTACAGTCTAAAGAGACCACTTGGCTGCTGTGTTGAGAGAGAGCTAGAGAGCAAAGGGGCAGAATCACAGACAGAGAACAGTTAGGAGGCCCCAGCAATGACCCAGGCAAGAGGATGGTTGCTGGACTCAGACTGGTAGCAGCAGAGG